CATTGAAGTGGGGCTTGTCACTGATTTGAGGACATGGGGGGCAGAATGCCATGTTTCTGGCTCAGGTGATGCCATTCCAGGATTCAGAAAAAGCAAGAGGAGCAGCCAGTTTGGGAGTAAAGCTAGAGTTTAGTTGTATCTCTGTTGACTTTTTTAAAAAATATTTATTTGTTTATTTAATCAGAGTTACAGAGAGACAGAGACAGAGGCGGGGGAGAGAGAGAGAAAGAGAGAGAGAGAGAGAGAAAGAGAGAGACAGAAAGAGAGAGACAGAAGTGTCTTCCCTCCACTGGTTCACTCCCCAAAAGGCTACAATGGCTGGAGCTGGGCTGATCTGAAGCTGGGAGCTTCTTCCGGGTCTCCCACGTGGGCAAAGGGGCCCAAGCACTTGAGCCATTTTCAACTGCTTTCCCAGGCCAAAGCAGAGAGCTGGATTGGAAGTTGAGCAGCCAGAACTCAAACCATCACCCATAAAGGATCCCAGCACTGGTAGTTTACCCACTGTGCCATAGTGACAGCCCCCTCTCTGTTGACTTTGAAGTGCTTATCAGCTACCAATTCAAAGTTCAATTCAGTATTGATCATCTATCTTTTGACATGTCAGGTGTTGATGTCCCTGATCTCAAAGGACTGCAATTGGTTAAAAAAATTAAAACCAATATAATCTGCAGGGGAAGGCATTTGGCCTAACAGTTGATATGCCTATATCTCATATAGGAATGCTTGGGTTTGAATCCTGTCAAACCTGTTTAAATTCCTGATTCCAGCTCCTGGCTAATGCAGACACTGGGAACCAATAAGCTGTGTCTCAAGTACTTGGGGCTCTGTCAAACACCTGGGAGACCTGGATTGAGTTCTGGGCTCCTTGCTTGAATCTAGCCTGGTTCTGGCTCTTGTGGGTATTTCAGGGAGTGAGCCAGCATATGAGAGCTATCACTCCTTTTATCTTTGTCTCTTAAATAAAGAAAATAATTGTTAAAACCAAACAGTAATTAAAAATATAAAGTCTTTAAGAGCAATTATAAAGATAACCACAGCACTCTTGGAGCTCAAAAGAGAGAGACCTATTGATGAATCTGGAAGCCAAACACCCCCATCTAAGCACTGCATTGGCTTTATCTCTCTCTCTCTCTTAAAGATTTATCTTCATTTATTTGAAAGACAGAGTTACAGAGATGGTCCTCCATCTGCAGATTCACTCCCCAAATGGCCACAACAGCCGGAGCTGCACTGATCCGAAGCCAGGAGCCTGGAGTTTCTTCCGGGTCTCCCATGTGGGTGCAGGGGCCCGAGGACCTGAGCCATCCTCCACACTTTCCCAGGCCATAGCAGAAAGCTGGATTGCAAGTGGAGCAGCTGGGACTCGAACAGGTACCCATATGGGATGCTGGCACTGCAGGCCAGGGCTTTAACCTGCTGCACCACAGCGCCGGCCCCAGCTTTATATCTTTCACTAGCTTGTGGTCCCTTGAGATGAGGGACATCAACACCTGACTTGGCACATGGTAGACTATCAATATTAAACTGAACTTTGAAGTAACTCAAAGACATCTGAAAGTCAACAGAGGTACAACTGAACTCCCTAGTTTTACTCCTGAATTAAATGGAGTCTTAAAGCATGAGCAGAGCAGTGCAGGGTGGGTAGGACAGGGCAGGGCATGAATAGAGGAGCAGCAGAGAGGACCACATGACTCCAGAATTGGGGTCAAGAATAGCATTGGTGTGAACCACAGGAACCACAGGAACCTCAGTAAAACGGGAGGGTACACCAGGGAGGAGGTGCCATGAAATAAAGCAGGAGAGGCAGCAGACCAAGTTACAGAGGGTGCTTTTTGTCACATTTGACTTTGTGCTGTAGGTAGATAGTAGAGGATTGATTGAGGGGCACGGAAGCAATGGCTGCAAAGGAAATGAAAAATGGTGAGATCCTGAGCCTCGACAGCATGGTATTGATAGGTAGAAAGGGGTTCATCTGAGAGCTTTTGGGAAGTGAAACCACTGACTTTGATGATGTGTGGGCTTAGGAGAAAGGGAGGAGAAGGGGGAAGACTCAGAGAAGCTTCACAGATTTATAGCTTGAATGATTGGGTGGACGGTAGTGCTCACTGGGGAAAACGAACAATGAATAAAAGCAAAGCATTTCAAGGGAGCAGGGACATGGAAGCTACTTTTCCCATTCCAAAAATTTTCAGAGAAACAATCATGGGAATTAATGGTTAGGAACATAGACATATAAGGAGTCAAAAAGTTCATGGAAAAGGTGTATTATGAAAAAACTATGGTTGGAATTTAAATTTTTTGCACCAAAATAAACATCTTTTAAAAATGTTCAATTTACTTATTTGAGAAGGAGAGAGAGTGCTCCTATCTACTGGATCACTCCTTCAATGCCTCCAATACCTAGAGCTGGACCAAGCTCAAGATATTAGCTAAAAACTCAATCTGGGTATCCCATGTGGGAAGCAAGAACTCAATTACTTCACCAATCACCTGCTGCATCCCAGAGTCTGCATTGGCAGGAATCTGGATCAGGAGCTGGAGTTGAGGATTGAACCTAGGCACTCTGATGTGGAATGTGGGCATCTTAGCTAGCCTGTTAACCACTAGACTAAAATACCCATCCTGAAATTCATCTTTTGATTCCATTGTTTCACAAACTTTTTGAAGTACATTTGTATATATGCCCTTTTGTTGCCTTCTTCCTCAAAAACCGAAACCAAAACCAACTTTTTTTTCTTTTTTCTTTTTTTTTTAACAATTTATTTATTTATTTGAAAGTCATAGAGAAAGTTACACAGAAAGAGGAGAGTCAGAGGGATGGAGAGGGGTCTTCCATTTGCTGGTTCACTCCCCAATTGGCCGCAACTGCTGAAGCTGCGCCGATCTGAAGCTAGGAGCCAAGATCTTTCTCTGCATCTCCCACACTGGTGCAGGGGCCCAAGGACTTGGACCATCTTCTACTGCTTTCCCAGGCCATGGCAGAGAGCTGGGTGGGAAGTGGAGCAGCTGGAACTCGAACCAGCACTCATATGGGATGCTGGCACTGCAGGCAGTGGCTTTACCCGCTATACCACAGCACCGGCCCCCAAACTTTTTTTCACTGTCACTATTCAAAGCGGAAAAATGAGCAGTAGATTTCACTGCATAAAGGCCATGAGAAACTGCTAGTGGAAGCAGCCAGTGGATTCTTGTAGTAAGAGAGTAGGAATCAAGATGTAATAGCATAAAATGACAGTGAAGGGAGGGGCTAGAGAAGTTAACCTCTGGATTTGGAAGGGTAAAAGGAGTAGAGAGAAGTCATGGACTTCTGGCTGGGTCTGGAGCAGGTGAGAGGGTGAAGGGGACAAGCCTGAGAGTTTCCAGGGCCTTCAGAAGTAGGGCAAGGCAGCAGAGTGGGCCAAGGGGCGGAAATGGTTTTGACTCGAAACTTGAAACTACTCTGGAATTGACTATGAAATCCGTTTTTATTTTCCCGGGGATGAATTTATATCAGCTCCATATTTGTTTTGCCACATTGGGTCCTTTATGTTTCCTAGGGTTCACAGAATCATAAAGAGAACAGATTCCGGGAATGTGGCCTCAGCAAGAGAGGCATCCCCCTGTTGATCTCTGGTGTGCCTTAATCTTCATTACCTCTGTCTCCTAGGATCTGCATTAGCAGCAAGCTGGAATCAGGAATGGAGTCAAGTATAAAACCGGGACACTCTAATGTGTGACACAGGTATTTTTTTAAAAAAGATTTTATTTATTTATTTGAGAGGCAGAGTTACAGAGAGAGAGGGAGAGACAAAGAGAAAGGTCTTCCATCTGCTGATTCACTCCCCAAATAGCTGCAATGACTGGAGCTGAGCTGATCCGAAGCCAGGAGCCAGGAGCCAGGAGCCAGGAGCCAGGAGCCAGGAGCCAGGAGCCAGGAGCCAGGAGCCAGGAGCTTCTTCTGGGTCTCCCATGTGGGTGCAGGTACTCAAGCACTTGGGCCAACTTCTGCTGCTTTCCCAGGCCATAGCAGAGGGCTGGATTGGAATTGGAGCAGCTGGGACTTGAAATAGCACCCATATGGGATGCTGGTGCCCTAGGTGGTGGCTTAGCCTACTATGCTACAATGTCGGCCCAGGGCACAGGCATCCTAAGCAGCATCTGTAACTGCCAGGTCAACTGCCTACCTCCCCTAGTTCATTTTTATTTTATTAGTTTTAAAATGTAGGATATTTATTTATTTTAATTTGAAAGGGAGGGTATTGGGGAGTGAGGGGGAGAGAGAGGCAGAGATAGAGAGAGAAAGAGAGAGAGAGAGGATATGAGAACTTGAAATCTTGCATCTTGGTTCACTCCCCAAATCTTGAAACTTTGCATCTTGGTTTACTTCCCAAATGCCCACAACAGCTAGGGCTGGGCCAGGCTAAAACCTGGAGCTTGGAACTTAATCTGTATCTCCTACACGGGTGATAGGGATCCATCTACTGGATTCATCATCTATTGCCTTTTAGGGTGCAAATTAGCAGGAAACTGGCTTGGAAGCAGAGTCAGGACTCGAATGCAGGGATAGATAGTTATAAGATATCCTAAGGTGTGTCTTAACTCCTGTGCCAAACACCCACCCTTATTGTACTTTTAATGACCAAGAATAAGGAAACAAATTTCCTACACAAAATTTATTATTACAGAGTGATTTTATTTCTTTAGCAGAGCACAGTTAGACTTGTCATCTCTTGTGAATTCTCGACAATTTACAAAATTTAAGTTAATAAATATTAAAGTAAGCTTAGTTGTTCTGTTTAGCCATGTCATGCACTTTCAAGAGAAAAAGAAGAAAAAACACTATTTTTGTATGAAGTAAATACTCAGAAATTTTCAACTGATTCAGTTCTATCTAGGATAGATTCCCTAGATGTCAGAACTGATAACCAGTCTTCCACCTTTCTTTAAAGACTGAGCAAACATAAATAGATTCATAAATATCTCACATAAATATAGGTTTATCTTTTAAATAATAAAATTCCTGAGTCTTACATCTTGTCTTCTTTTAAAAAGAAATACAAGGTAAAAGAGGCAATTCATTAAAACAAGTTCTTAAGATTCAAAGTTACCTCAGGACATATTAAATACATAAATAACTTAAAGCCCTTAGAAGAGCAAACAAGAAGCGAATTGATATGCAGTCCAAACCTTTCATCTTGGGGAGAGGGAAGGTAATTCAGATGGTATCTCAGAACCAAAAAGTGTTGCCTCCGGAGCTTCAACTGAATGAACTGTTTTAAGAACCCTAGTGAATTTGGTCAGAAGTGGGGCTGGGTTTTTGAAGGATCAGAGTTCTTCAGGGTCTGGAAAGACTAACAGTTGCAGGTTGCTTTGGATCTGGCTCAAAGCCCTTAGGCCATGTGATGGATGATGGGGGTTACACAGGTGCATCCTACAGCCACCAGCATCTTCTCCAGCCGGAATGAGTGTGGGCAGTGCTGGGACTCCCTGCGTAGGACCAGGATCTCTTGCTGGATTGGGACAGAGTTCATGTGGTGGTCCTCATTCCCTTCAGCATTGACACAGCCCAAGTGGCGGCACTTGGCCTCCCAGATCACAGAGGGATATCTCTCACGATCCTCGTTGCGGCTGCAGGGGAGACAAAGGCCAGGAGGAAAGTGAGTTCTTGATACTAAAAAAGGAAATCGAATGGGAGTAAATGAAGGGAGATACATTTACAGGATGACAAAATCTCTAAGTGATACTAATCTGAAGAACTTTGGACAAAAACTTAGATTTTCAAACACACGGTGTATAACAATTTTTTTCCAATGGCTTTGAAGAACGAACAAAATAAAATAGACTGAGGCTACAAAAAGAATTTAAGCTTGACACAAATGATAATCTTTTAGGGTAGATTTGGGAAAGTGAAAAAGACTGAGGAAAGAATTGATTGGAGTTATTTAGGAACAAAACAGCTGTTTATCTGACTAGATAAAATCCATCTTCAAAAGACAAAGTGCAGCAAAGTTTTGCTAAAGCTGATATGCCTGACCTGGAAAAAAACACCTCAAGACCATAACCTTCTCTTCCCTCTCTCCCTTATCTGTATAAATGATTTGCTTTGACTATTGAATTGATTTAACTATTTTTATTTTATTTTATTTTTTTTTTGACAGGCAGAGTGGACAGTGAGAGAGAGAGAGACAGAGAGAAAGGTCTTCCTTTGCCGTTGGTTCACCCTCCAATGGCCGCCGCGGCCGGCGCACAGCGCTGATCCGAAGGCAGGAGCCAGGTGCTTCTCCTGGTCTCCCATGGGGTGCAGGGCCCAAGCACTTGGGCCATCCTCCACTGCACTCCCGGGCCACAGCAGAGAGCTGGCCTGGAAGAGGGGCAACCGGGACAGAATCCGGTGCCCCGACCGGGACTAGAACCCGGGGTGCTGGTGCCGCTAGGCGGAGGATTAGCCTGTTGAGCCGCGGCGCTGGCGAATTGATTTAACTATTAGCAATGGGAAGAAGAGATGAAATCCTATAATGAGCAGAATCTGTAGACACCACTTAACTGATGCTCATTTCATAAAATCAAATAATCAAAGTAAATTTTGTATTTAATCCTTAATGGCTTGAAATACTGAGTTTACTAAAGACACTTGCAGATATCAAGTGTGTTGGGGGATGTATATAAAATCTAACTCAAAATAAGGTGGAAGCATCCAATATGATACTTCTTCCATTAGAATTCTAACTATATTTTCCTAGTGTTAATATGATTTTTAAAAAAAAGACAGAAAACCTGGTTGATGACTAATTATCAACAAGTTAATTCAAGCCTTATCCCCTATGATAAACTCTTTGCATTTGTTTTGGCATTAATCAGTAGTAGACTTGGGATTTCACAAATACTAGCATAATGGCTGCCATTAGTTTGCATTGGATTTTGGTGTCAGTAGTAATGAGAGCTAGCAGGATAGATGGTACAGTGGGGGAAGGTGGTGTTCTGTGCTCTGATAGATCTGTAGAATGAAAGTTTGAGGATCCTTGCTTTGCACAATGTCCCTTGCTTGGTGATTCTGAATGAATAAAATCAGCCTCAAGATGATTTAATTGTTAGGCACATAGGAGGATTGAAGAATATGGAGATTTTATCTGGGGCCCTTACGTACTGGAGAGTCCAAGGTGAAGTAGATCGATTGTAGTAGTCTGAAGGCCTTCGGGAATTTACACTCTTGTTAAGGATGTTCAGGCTGACTTTTACATTCTGGGGGAAGTTCTTGTCCTCAGCATTTGGACATCCTGGATTTCGCGGCATTGCTATTCCATTCTTCACAGTAGCCACCAAACACAGCAGCAGCAGCAGTGACTGGAGTTAAATAGGAAAGGACAGAGAGGTGGGAGATTGGATTCATTGGTTTTAATGATTGGATTGGTTTTAATTGACAGTGATTATATTGTAAATCATAGAACACATACATGTTTTTGGCCAGTATTTACTAAATTTCAGATCCTTTAAATAAAGAATAGTTTATATGACCAAAAACAATGTTGAGATCATGGTGTTTTTTTAAACCAGTTTTCAATTTTCTTCTTTTGGCCTAGGAAAGACACATTATATATTGGATGCCAATAAATAAAAATGTCAAGTCATGCTGTGTCATTAAACCGTCAGCACATGCATCACTGTTAGGTCCTTGGGAAAATAATGACCCTGAATTTGTAGGAGGAAATGTCTGTCTACATCACTGTTTTCAGTCTTAGCATTCTGGGAAACCTATGTGAAGTGCATCTTGGAAGAAAATGCTGCAGAACATCTGTGTGCTCTCAGTATTCATGTTAGAAATGTTGGTGGTATCCCTGGCAAACATCCAATTATAAACTAGGTCCCCGTTACATTTCTTAGGTATATTTTCTGATTCTTCTGAATTTACCATGTATTGACTCTGTATTAAAATCATATTTCAAAAAAGAGGGAGGTTTTAGATGAAATATTTTTAAAGCCTATTATTCTGAAGCATGGTTACACATATTTATTAAATAGTTTTTTTTCCAAGATATGAAATAAGATAATGGAAACAATGGTTGCTGCCCTAGCTTTCAAATCCTTAGGAACAGTGACTCCCTTTATCATGGATTAAAGATGTCATGGGAGAATTATATTAAATCCTTTGTACTCAGGAAAGCAGACTTTCTACAAATATTTTTTTTCTTATCACTCAGCATCATGTGATGCTTTTTGTGTGGTTTAGCCTCAATATAGCTATCTTTCAGTTTTAATCTCATCTTTCACACTGATATGCATCAGTTCTTAAAACTGCAGCACAATGACTTAACTATCTACCAAAGATTTCATTTCCTATCCTACATATTCAGTATTCATGGATCTCCATAGTCAGATTGCAACATGCAAGCCACAGTACAGAATATTATCTAATATAAAGTAATGAGCACATCAAACATTGGTGCAGGACTCACCACAGATGAAATCCTCCCAAGCGACATCGTTGCTTCTCTTGATCAACTGAGGTTGGACGAGCCTGAGTCTGCTGTGAGGTGGACAAAGTGTGGCACTACATTCTCTCTTTTTATAGGTCTTTACTCCTTCTGTGGTCACTTACGTTGGTGTCAAAGTGGGTTCAGAGGTGACACCATTTTGGTTAAAAGTTCCATCCCCAATTGAGGTCAGAGAAGACCTCCCCTTTATGACAGGTAATACGAGGGTACGTCAAAATTATTCACGGAAAAATGGAATTAAAAGTATGAGTTCGTTGAGATGTAAAAATTTTTGCTTCAAAGTTTTTATCCATAATATATGGAAAATGCATATTATGAAAAAAACTACGCATGCATTTCAGAAATTCTTTTGCATTAAAAACCTCATAGTTTCAATTCTATTTTTTCATGATCATTTTGAAGTCCTCTCTTATCTGTTTCTGAAGGAAAAAGGGAAGAGCAGAAGTTCAATTTCTAAAAACTATGTCCTCTCTTCATTCATCAAATTATTATTAGTTGAACAAAGGTGCTTTGCTGAGGGTTAATACCATGTATTTATGAATATGCGAGGGAACTTCAAAATGTTTTTGGAAAATATAATTAAAGGTAAATTTGTTTCAGTACAACAATTTTGAAATCCATGCATATGAGGGGCCTTCAAAAAAGTTCATGAAAAATTTTTATCATGAAAAACTGTGCATGGACTTCAAATTATTTTATACCCAAATAGACTTATCTTTGAATTCTATTTTTCTAAGAACATTTTGAAGTACTTTCATATGTGAAACTGTCAAAAGAGCTATTATCTACTATAATGGCTCATAACGAAATAAAGTTTGCCATAACATACAGGTCTTCTAGGGTTACATATTTTACTTCCCACTTGATTTTTCTTTTCCTCACCAGGTTCACTGCCCATGTGTTGTAGAGACAAAGTAAAGAAACTTTTCATATAAACAAAATAGATAAATAATTTAATGATGATAGGATACATTCTGTTTAACTGAATTTAACAACAGTTTTGTTGGGTGTCTATCTTGCCCAAAGAGCTAATAACTAGGTTCCAGAGACATGAGATTTAACAATACAGGCAGATCTAACACTGCATGCTTCCAGGCAGCTTGGTACTCCGGGTGTTTTGAGGCTGTGGGATGGAGAAATGAGAGTGAAAGGATTTGGCTGGACAAAGTGAGGAAGGAATTTAAAATAAAGATAGGGACTGCAGAAACTGACGGAGAGGAGATAAAGCAGGCAAAAGGGAATGTGGAGTAAGGAAAGCATGAAAGAAGAGGAGGCATGAGGGGGATGGAAGAAAGAAGCAGCTCTCTTCTATGTACTCTCTAAGTGAGATGGGCTTTGATGTTAGGTCCCTGGGACTAGTTCTTCCCCAGGAATGCAGAGGATTCAGACAAGGATGATAAGAAGGCAGGTTGGTGGATACAGATGTGGCTAACTTACATTACCCTTCTCCGCACCCTATTGACAGTGAGATGAATGATGTTTCTCATATTCCACACAGTACCTCAGGAAGTCTGATTAGCAGTTCCAGCTCTGCAGTTGGAGTGAATAGTAAGCTTGCTGGATTCCAGGTCTGAGTGTTCTAAGATCCAGTCCTCCCTACTTTGCTCCATTCCCTAGCTCAGAGGAGCCACCCTGCAAAGTTACTTTATCAGACTCCTTTGACAGCTGGATTTCATTTGCATTTAGCCAATGAAGAGTGGAGGACAGAAGAGTGAAAATCGGGAACAAAAAGATGAGTGAGAAGACAGGGCCTTTCTCCCTCTCTCCTATTGTTCCCTTTGTCCTTCCAAGCCTTAGGATAATGATAATCCTTTGCTGATGGCAAACTCAATCACCAGTGTAAGTGTTATGGGTGAAATGGCAGTGGAGAAAGATTACCTCAGTTCTTTGTCTCATGTGAAATAAGAGTTTGCACACAGACAAAGCAGAGATTAAAGCAAGATTTATTTAAATCAGAAACCTCCTGCCAAAGCAGCTGGGAGGGGCGATTCTACACTTCTGAGTCCCCAGTTTATTGTGAAAACCTACCCCACCCTTCTGATGGCTCTTTTGTTTTATCATAAGCAAGCTAGACAGGGAAAATAAGATTACAAATCAGGCTGCCCAGTGAACTACTCATTGCTGATCCCCCTGCTCCCAATAGGGCACTCAGGCCAGTGGAGAGGGGAAGAAGCAGAGGAGCTATTCATTTATGTAAGCAGAAATGGCTGTAGATAAGAGAGGGGAGTATGACATTTCCCCATATTAGGGTGATAACAGAGATGACGTATCTCAGGGAGCATCATCTGGTCCAGAAAAGTGAGAGCGATAAATAAGCATTTTTGCCACATATCCAGTAAAGACCTTATGTAATTAGGAGCTTAACTCATAGTGGGGTCATGTAGAGGGGTTGGATTTTAGAGTTTTTATATGGGAATGAGGCTTAGTATGTGCCTTATAGATGTCAGAGATTATAATGGGGGAATAAGCACAGGTTTGACTTTGGACAATGAGCTCTAGGTGTGTTTGGCCATCCAGGCATGAATTGGCTCAGGCCCAATCTTGGGCTGGGGCAGGCTGGTTGTAAATTGAACCTCAAGTGGACTCGCGTAATCAGTAGTGGTGCTAAAGTTTGTTTGCTAAGGAATAAGAACTTGGCCCATTTGGGAAAGGGCGTTTTTTGGAGGGAAGAAAAGGAGCAGCAGCAGAAGAGCAATCAAGGTAGTCATATCGTGATGCCAAGAAGAGCTATGATTTCCTGCTGAGTAAAGTCAGATAGGATTTTTTAAGAAATAGGTGAAGAATAAAATCCTTAAATTTGGAGGAAGATAGATGATTTGTGCTAGAGGGAAATATAGGAGAAGTTTCTTTCAAACAAGAGAGGATGGAGACTGACCATGAGCTGTGTTCGTGAGTCTTGGGAGTTAGGGTGAGTATTACCTGAGCCTTGTCTTAACACTAAGTGCAAATCTCTGACAGCTTTGCTGCTCTATTTTGTGGATGAATTTCCTCTGGGGGAGAAGCAGTCTTGACCCTAGAGAGATGGAACCATGGGGAAAAGCCTCAGCTTTCTTCTGTTGGCATTGTTAGAAGGACCTGATGGGGTCTGGTCCAGACAGTTTCTAAAAGTTTCTCTTCCTGTGATAGAGGTTTAAGGCATAGCCAAGCTCCATGTGCAAGTTTGGGGAGTATGTGTGTCCTGAGGAAGTATAATCAAGCCTTGGGCTATGTTGACTTTGATAGTTATTTATGGCCTCCATTTTTTTTTTTTTTTTTTTTTTGGACAGGCAGAGTGGACAGTGAGAGAGAGAGACAGAGAGAAAGGTCTTCCTTTGCCGTTGGTTCACTCTCCAATGGCCGCTGCGGCTGGCGCGCTGCGGCCAGTGCACCGCGCTGATCCGAAGGCAGGAGCCAGGTGCTTCTCCTGGTCTCCCATGCGGGTGCAGGGCCCAAGGACCTGGGCCATCATCCACTGCACTCCCAGGCCACAGCAGAGAGCTGGCCTGGAAGAGGGGCAACTGGGACAGAATCTGGTGCCCCAACTAGGACTAGAACCCGGTGTGCTGGCGCCACAGGCAGAGGATTAGCCTGTTGAGCCGCGGCGCTGGCCATGGCCTCCATAATTTGCCCTAGAGATCGCATATGCTTTGCCAGGTAGTGGTTTCAGGGTCTAACAAGAGGTCTGCCTGGAGGAAGGGTTTCCCATAGAGAACTTCAAACAGGATGAGATGTGTCTAAGGTCTTGGGGGTGTAGTTTGGGACCACAGGAGTGCCAGGGGAAGGAAAGTCAGCCATAGCTCTTGTGTCTCTTGCATTAAGTTTTTGAGGAGTCTTTTTAGGATTTGTTTAACCCTCTTACCTTTCCTGAGGCTGGGGGGGGGGGTACCAGGCCACTTGTAGTGTCAGTTTGGAGGGCTCAGTTTGCCTTTTAGGTAATCTGGAAGACAAAGAGTGGGCAATTTTCTCACTATAGAGAGCAGGGGAGCCCAAAGCAAGGAATGATATAGTCAAGGAGGGCCACCATGACCTCAGAGAACTTTTTGGACCTAGTAGGGAACACTTTCACCCATCCAGTAAAGATGTCCACAAAGGCCAGAAGATGTTTAAGCATATTGCAGGGAGGCCTCTGTTTGCCATTCTATGCCAGGCAGGGTCACTGTCTTTGGACAGGTTGGAGGAGAGGAGAGGGGAAGGTTCATGGGCTCCCTCTGTGTTTGTATAGCAGCATGTGGGGCAAACCTGGAAGATAGCTTGAAGGGTTTGGGATATGCCCTTCCCAGTAAAGACGGGTACCACCAAGTCATGGAGGATGCTAGTCAGCAGGTGAATAGCTTTCATCCCCAGTGGAGGTTAAACATTTCCATTGTATTGCTCCCAGGAGTAGAAGCCTGTCCTGGGTCCTATTAGCCAGCCCTCTGGGGTTCAGATTAAGCCTTTCTGTAAGGCCTTTTGGGCCTCTTCTTGGTGAACTGAAGGGAAAAAGAGGTCAAGTTGGGAAGGGGAAGTCTGGAGGCTGCCCTGGCCAGCTCGTCAGCCTTGTTGTTTGCAGTGGATATCTCATTGTCCTCTCTGTGATGGGCTTTGCAGTGGAAAACAAAAACCTGAGCTAGGAGCAGGAGAGCCTCCAGCAGGGCCAGAATTTCCGGGGTGTGTTTCAGAGGGATTTTGGGGTCGCCATTCTCACCAGATGGCAACATGAGCATGTACCACCTGGAAGGCAATAGCCAAGTCAGTATGGATGTTAAATTTTATACCTGCCATTAATTGCAGGGCTCATGTGAGGGCAATCAGTTTGGCCTTTTGTGCTGAAGTGGTTTCTCCTGAAAGGGGCCTTGGTTCTCTTACTTCAGTAAGGCTGGCGATGGCATATCCTGATGGTTGAGCTTCCACTTTCAGGTTGCTGCTGCTGTCTGTGAGAGATTCTCAGAGTTGGTGAGGGGCATATCTTGGAGATCTGGCCATCATGACATGTTAAACATAGGGTTCCTAGGTCAGAGTGTTCCAATGAG